CACCTTTGAACGCAGTAGATTCTTCACAGATTTAATTAGGTAAGATTCAAGATTCATTTAGAAAAAGTTTCAATCGAGTTAGTCTCCACTTCGAAATAATATCTAATTTCAATAAAATTAAAGAAGTACTTGAAACACTGTTCATTCAAAATTTGTGTAACGAATGACATTTGCTTATACTAATTTTTGAATTGTGAATTTATGGTTAGTTTACTTTTTTGTACTAGTATTGTATTGTATATAGATCATGTAGTAAAACCAATTATTTCTGATATCGATAAATATAACTCAATCCCAGTGGTCTTATAATAAAATTATTTACTTTTAGAAAATACTGTGGTCTAGCTAGGCATAACTACTAGTATAGTAGTATAAAGTAAGTAGGAATCTTTATACTTTATAGGACTCATATTTTGATAATTAAATACTATTATAAAAGCATCAACCATCAACATCAACAAAAAAATATTCTTAATCAAAATACAGAATTTAAACAAAGTTTATCTTTCTCTAATTTAACAGGAAAACAGTATAATTAAGCCGTTACGGACCTTGAAGATAAATTAACTTACACAGTTTAGTCTAAACGCTATTTTGTAATACAAATGTACTCGTACATGCATAAAACATTAGTCTACATGTTTTAATTTTTTTCTCGAAAAATTTATTCCTTCACTCATAATAGGAAACACAACTAAACTAGACATAATATAGATGCCGTTAATAAAAATTCTTTATCCACACACAACTTATTTAGTACACATGATATTGACTTCACATTTATATAAAGTAAAATAAAGAAAATCTGTTAACTAAGGCTTCTTCCAAATCTACACAGTCTGTTGTATTTATTCCATTAGGCTTACAACGTATAATTTTATTTAAATTACAACAATTAAACTCCTATCTCTGTTCTTAATTTCAAAAACAAAAGCGATATTTGTTGCTGGGTATGATATTCTACCTTCAGAATATTTAATTAAAACATATATTCAAGTTTATTACAAATACATACATACGTACATTACGTTGGTGTTTAGAGATGCTTGTCGAGATCATGTTGTGTATACGTGTACACAACATGATCTCGAGTGAGGCGGTCCACATAACAGGATTTTCACTGTAATTATGTGGACCGACCCACTTTTTTATATATTTATATAAAAAGATTGTGGTCAGTAATTTTCTAAGTGGACTTCCGACAGACAAACCATAAAACAAGTTTAATATTCCTAGCCATAACTGTTGATTTTTAAACGTGAATAACTTTATATTCACGTAACCATAATTTTAAGACAATATATTTTTATAGCCCGAATTATAAATAGCTTAAATTTCTGTTGTAAAAATTTATATAAATACTTAATTAAAGATTTTTAGTTAGATTTGTGAGAAAAGAGCGTGATTTATTTTATAACCAAGCATAACTTTAAATTAACTTAGCTACTTTCAAGTACCCCATAATACGACCCTTTGACATATTAAAAAAATCTTACTATTTTATGTCTCACAAGTTTTTGGTTAAACAAATTATTTTGAAAATAGTGCTCTTATAAGAAAGTAAATCCATTAGTCGGAAGTCTCAGCCGATCGATTCTCAAACTTTAATTAGTATAAGACTGGGTGCACATTGGGTCCTTCACGTTCTTTGTTTAACAACACCTGTAAATCATCTACAAAAAAGATTGATCTGAAGATCTGGCGCAATCCGTTAGAAATTTAGTTCATTTTATCTATCTCATCGCAATGCGGGTAATTATTATACATTTTTTTAAATATGTTTGTTTATTACAGGTGTTGTACACACGAATTGCAGTAGGCTTATGGCAGAGTTCCCATGCACTACAACACTTGGAGCGAGTGCAATGCTGTGCACCGCAACACCAAAGAAATGAAAAGGTAATTCATGCACCCAAGGATTTCAAAAAGCTCGTTTTGTAAATTAAAAACCGGTAAACAGTACAGTCTTAGTCAGTTATTTGGCGAGAAATTGTGTAAATGAAATACGAAAAATAAATCTATGCTAATGTGTGTGCAAACCAAACGTTTATGGTGATAGCAACAACGGGATAGGTGACAATTGGTCTTTGTGCCCCAAACTGGTCCAAATGAGCGGCCCAGCTTTCCCCACAAAAATGAATGGATGGTAAACTGGCGTGGTATAGTAGGCCAAAATCTCCTTTCTAAGGAGAGGCCTATGTCCAGCAGTAGACTGTTAAAGGCTGTTGATGATGATGAAACTGGGCCTATCTTTTTTTTAAATCGAGGCGATGGACAAAATAAAATTATTATGTTTATGTTTTATATATAGGGAAATTTACGTCTGTTTTGTATTTCTTTCGATCATTAAGAAAAATTAAACCTGTGATATAAAAAAGTACTTAGGTATTACTAAAAATATGTGTATAAATAAATAAGAATATGTGTGTAAGTAAATATGTGTATAAAGTAAAAATTCGTGAGAAAGCCAACATAATTTTTACGAGAAAAATAACGATTTATTCTCGTAAATTATTAATACAAATTCTAGTAATTACTTACAAAAAAAGATACAGATTTACAAAAATAAGATAGATACAGATTACACAAAGAATGCTGTAAACAACAAAATAATTTAATTATATAAAAATTACTGAACAGTTTGTGAGTTTTTCTATACAATGAACGAGTGTTATTTCACCGTCGATCAATTCTCGTATAATATTTTGAATTTTTTCATGGGTCCATATGGTTTCTTTTTTCTTCTGACTAATGTAACCTTGAATTTTAAAAAGCCCAAAGTAATGACTGGAATAATCGTTTTTTTTGACAATTGAGTAACAAGACTTGGTTTTGACGAAAACTTTTCATTGAAATTCCAGAAAAATCCAGAGAATCCAGAAAAATACACCGAACAATCAATATTCGTTAAAAATAAATTTACTGTTTGATAACTTTGTGAAAAAAAAAATTGTGAGTGGTGTTTCTGTGAAATATGTCTCATTCGAGTAAATATTCGTTGAAACAATAACATTTGAAATATAAATACAAAAACCAAATATTGTATAATTTTTTTCTGCGAAACGAATCTGAGAATGGACTAACCATTCTCAGATCTGAGGGAACAGGATGGGAACAATGACAATTTCGTGCACATTAAAAGCAAAATAAACATTTAAATTGATGAATGTTATTGACATCAACCGACTTCGCAAATAGATTAGGTTTTACCTTTAGCTGTGTGTTTCTTGCTAAGGAGAGGCCTATGTCCAGCAGTGGACTATTATAGGCTATTGATGTGCTGTGTGTCTCTTTTCTTCGTTCCTCAAAAAGGAGAAAGAAACTCGAATTGTCATTACTTCGTCAGGACTCTATATTAATTTAATAAAAAGTAGGTATAATCTTTCGATGGACAGAAGATTTTTCTAATAAATCTCTTTTTTTGCGAAATAATCAAAGACTAGTGCAAAGATACGTCCGATTTTTTTAAGAATGTCATGCGGAATTAATTTTGAAAACTAAGGAGCATGTTAACTTATGAAACCCAAGGATACAATATAAACTTTCAAGTTCATTTCTTATAAGAAATGAACTTGAAAGTTTATCTTAACAATATTTCATCGGTCTATTTACTGTTAGCTAACAAGTTTAAGAAAAATAGTCCTTATTCCGTATTTTCTTTTAAAAAATAGTCCGTATTTTCCTTAATGTAACCTGAGTACTTAAATTAATGTATCCTAAGGACATACCAAATAAACAATGCATGTGTGCTTATGAAATCCAAGGATACAATATAAATTGATACATTTTATTGTCTATTGTTTATATATATAACGAATATCACTGATGAAGTGTGCAACTGTCATAAAAAAAGTTTTTTCACACATATAGTTTAGGCAAAATATCAGACTCAGATGCTTTTTTGCAAACCTTTGCAATTCTTCAAAGGTAGCAGTTTTTTCTTCTTGTTACAAATAATGACATTCATTTATACAGAAAACGTGCTGTGTATGTTAAAAGCAATATATTTTTTGCTTTCACTGAAAGTTTTTAATATGTGGCAGAGGAAACGTGTTGTGTGTTAAATCCATACTTTTTATCGTATTGCGTCTTCACAACTTTTATTAATAGGTATTCAGGTTGTTATTATCGTATCTAATAGGAAAAAATTGGTAATGATTTTTTACTAATAGCGCTTCTTAACACTAAGCAGATTCTAAATATTGACAACGCATGAGTTAAATATTTATAAATAACAGTATCAAGTACATTTTCTTGAGTGTTTTCAATTTGCAATAATAAATATTTCAGACGTAAAACCATTCATTTATCACAACTACGCAATATTAGAAACAAATGATATATGATGGCCAATAAAACCTTCCTCAACCTTGAAATATCGTGATACCGTTTTCATTTCTATTAGAGTGAGCCGTAGTACTAAATTCCCATGGCTACTTCAAATTTGAGGCTTACCAAAACTGAGAGCTTTGGGAACAGGCTTTTCTTTAGGGTCTTACGGGAAATAGACAGTTAGTGATTCTTAAGGGTCTTGGCGGTTACTTGATTAATAGGTATTAAAGTGAATGATTGAGAACACCATAAGTTCTGCAGTATTCGTTTTAGATATTAGTACTTAGCTTCATCAGTAGTATTGGGTAAACTGAATAAGTCAATTGTTTACCATTGACAAAGTTGAAGTATAGAAAGAACTGTTTAGACTTCGACAAACTAGCACAAATTTACATATTGTTTCCTACTGTTTTTTACTTATAGATTTTTAACAATGAGGAATTACGTTCCTCAATTAAGATTAATCAAGATTTAGAATACCTACCTAAACATGTAGTAGGTATAATAATATAACAATAAAATGTCTCATGTGTGGTAAATAATATTATAATCGATTATTTAGAATCGTTATTAATCTTAAAACTAAAACAACTAATGATATTATCCTATTGAGTAGTTCAAGATGCAATTAATAACTGATTAACTGATTTCTAATTTTAATGCAGAAAATGGTGACGGTAAGCAGCAATAAGAGCGGCACTGCGAAGAGCACTCGGGGTCACGAGTCACGGAACTGCAGTCACTTGAGCCACCTCTCACGAAACGTGCTACGGGCGCGCCGCGGTGTCGTTCGCATGCTCATTGTTGTCGTGCTTACCTTCGCCGTCTGTAATCTACCCTTCCACGCTCGCAAGATGTGGCAGTACTGGTCCAGCGGCTATGAGGGTTCCAGTGACTTCAGCACACTGCTCACACCGCTCACTTTCCTCATCACGTATTTCAACTCCGGTATTAACCCACTCTTATACGCATTCTTATCAAAAAATTTTAGAAAAGGAATGAAGGAACTCTTGTTTTGCAACTGCCACGGAAAAAAGAAAAGCGAAAATTTAATTTTATTGAATCCGGTGGGTGGCGTTGGTTTAAGGCGGAGCTCGACACGATCCACTCGGGCCAATTGCAGCACAGTGACAATAGCACCGAATGGAGAATCGTGAGACATGCGTCGACGGCGCTTCCTGTATAAGGTGGAAAATATAGATATTTCCTGATTAACGGAGAGCACCGACGAAGTGACCGACAGCAGCGGCTTTTATACCGTGTCTACTATTTCTAGACGTGATTTGTATGACTAAATAATGTCGTATTTGATTGCTGTGGAAGAGTACATTTTTATTAGTAACATGTTGATGTACTTTGAAATTTAGCAACATGAAACTAACTTGTGAAAGTGAATGCGAACCTTGTGATCTCACGAGCTTAAAGCCCTAAATCTTGGTGATTAGATTGATAAATTGAATTTAGTATAAGTTGAGAGTGTAATACTCAACGTTCGTCGACGGGGCCGCAGGCTGCCAGAGAGTGGGGACCTCTATTGGCAGATTAACTGCTGCCGCAACATATTATAAATATTTGCTGATAGGCGGGGGAAGCCTTCTTTCCCCGGGATAGGGCATGGCTAAGCGCGGTGTCGATCTGGGGGGGACCTGAAATAACATGGTCCGGGTCCTCCCCAGGGCAGGGCGCCTGAGACCGGCTGTCGGGTGATTTATAGTGGAAACACCACATACCCCTGGCCAGCGTTGCTGCCATTCGTAATGACCTCATAGACGAATGGCAGCAACGCTGGGACGAATCATCCAAGGGGCGCCATCTTTACCAATTTTTTCCATCTGTTCGCGAACGGTTGTCGAGGACATGGCTTGAGGTGGATCACTGTGTCGCTCAATTTCTTACGGGTCATGGTAACTTTAAGAGCAAGTTGTATTCATTTAAATTAGTCGAGTCACCATTGTGTCAATGCTCAACACCTAACTCTCATTATGAACAGTCTGCTCATCATATCCTCTGGGAATGTAGTCTTTGGTATAATGAACGTAATATAATGCTGAATAGCTTGCAGGTGACATCTGGGGCGGTATACTATGGGGATCTTGTGTCAACTAGGGTGAATTTCCGTGCGTTTAGGCGATTCTGCCATACATATTATAGAAATCAAATATAGCTCATGTAGGACCCGTAATATTTTGTGGCCGTGGTGCTTCCCTGTTTAAAAGGGTGTATGCCTATTTCACTTCATTTTGTCTCCCGCTTTGCTAAGGAGGGAAGTGGATTTACTGTATTTCCAACTCCTCCAATTTTCTTCTGATTAATTTCGTTGCGGGTTCCAAGACAGTTTAATTTCTTCCTGGGACTTCCCGAGTGTCATAACTCGGTGTGTTCGTGGGTCACTGCTGTGGATCCTGGTGTACAGGAGTTACAGTGGTGGGCGTGTGGGTGGGATTAGTCCCAATAAAAAATACCCCTGGCTCCTGCGTCCCCGAAGAGCCGAAGATCCGAAGGGATTTTCCACCCCAACAACAAAAAAAAAGGAAAAACATATCTGGTATTCTCTTTTAAATTCATTATCTTAATCATTGGTTATTGTGACATTTCGTTTATTGTTCGTTATAAAAATGTTAGATACTTAATACCATTTATGTACGTAAAACGTTTTTATATGAATAACATTGTTTAATGTAAATACATGTATAAAAATAAGTAGATACATACTTAATACTAGTTGAAAAAATATCTGTACGTGTATTGGGTATCATTCTTCGTGTCTGTACGTAAAAATACTTAATATTATCTTGTAAAATGTATATATTTGGTGTAAGAATATTTTAAACAGTTTTATATGTCTGTTCAATAATACGAATAGGAATAAGAAAAATTAAATCGTTATCGACGTGTACCAGGTGCAGCTAGTGGTTTGAGCATCAGCCAAATTGAAATCACAGTGTGACGATATTACATTAATAATAGCTAATATTCCAATTTAGAGATCATTAATGTACTTAACTATAATGAATCAATAAGTTTTTTATATTTATTAAACGTTTTAAACAATCCTCAGATAATATTCAGAATGATAGAACGACTTCAAATAATGTTTGAACAATCAACATTAAATTTTTGTGTACTGTTTTTACCTACACTACCTATTTGGCAGTGTACATTCTTCCTTATCATAAATTTGACTTGTACTATTGTATAAGACTTCAATATTGGATCCGTGCAATTCGTAAAACGACATTATTTGTAAAATTTTTGCTGATTCTGATATTCAATAAAATTTTACAACATTTGCCGTTCTTTTAATAAAAATTTGATACGTAATCATCGATACAAATTTATTTCAAAAGGAAAAAACAGTTACGATATTATTATTGCTTAGTGTTTCGTACTGATATTTTCATAATAATAATCTGTACACACAACTCGACAAAAACTTCAGTCAAGATCAAAGTTAATTGAAGAAATCATGAATGAAAATTTGACAAGTACTACTCATTTATTATGAAACACGAACAATTTAACTGTACGTTTTACGTCTGATGAATTTTTTAATAATAAGACTTTAAGTGGGTCTTTCCTATCATTATAACTCTAGTACGTACTTACCTAACCGAATACTTTTATCATTTTATTGTTTATTATTTACATTGCATTGTTGTGGTAATACTTGGAATTCAAATAAAAATTTAATTACGATCTAAATTGAGAGTGATGGCATTCAGAAGAATTACGTGTTTAGCTTTATCGGATTTACCTTACCTAATTAGTACCTTAAATGATTTTAACAAGTTAAATATTGGTTATTAATCTCCATCCAGTGAAATCGTGCCAGTGGGATATGAAAACAAGATTTTTTCTCACGTATGACACAAGTTACTGAAAAGACAAATTGTCATTGTTGTACGAATATGAAAAACAACATGTCCTTCGCATCACTTAAGTTAGTTTTCAAAAAAAATTCACTCTCCCACTATTCTTGTTGGAAGATATTTAATCGCCGCATTGTTTTGACTATTTCACTGAACTTGATTTGTAATTTCAGTTTTTATTTATGTGTGATATGGGGCAAACGAACAGACGGGTGACCTAATGGTAAGTAACTACCACTTCCCATGGACACCTGCAACTCACAAGTGACAAGTCTGTTCCCGCCCTTTGTGTCTTCCCCGTAGGATCAGGTACCGGAGGCTATGAAATCACTTTGCTCAAGTCAGACCATCAATTGCCGAAGCCGAAGAAGTATTTTAAATATTGAACCTTTTTATAAATTAGTTCGGATTTTCTTGATTGAATCTTAATTTAAACACTCAAATCTAAATAATTACTTTTATTATTACACCTGTTTTTTTATTATTATTACCAATTAATTTTATCATAACTAAAATCAACAATTTCTCTAACAACAACAGTGTAACAATTTCTTACAGGTAAGTACATCATGTATTTAAACAGAGAGCATGCACGTGTTAAATTTTTCTTGGTATTACTATTCTAATTTGGGAACACTACAGAAATACGAAAAACTTTAATCCGTCCATCACAAATACGAATTTCGACCGATACCGATTTGCATAATTCCGAATAGTTCAAAATTCCTAATATAATAACTCCAATTGATCATTCATCCTATTTTTATAATTCAATAATTTCAATATTCTTAACGTTTATAATCACTATGCTTAAAATACAGAGTTTCAATAGATCGAATAACAAAAAGTACGACTTAATGATTAAAATGTTTTCTTTAGCTGGTCACAGTTCTAACCTTACTTTACCCAAATGATTCACCAATAATAGAGGGGATTTGGCGCTCGGAGTCCACTGCCGCGGCCTGCTGGCTACGCTCGCTCGCCTTCACGCTTTAATGTAACCGAACCGAAAGAATTCAATAACGATAGATGGTACCCGACGCAGGTATATTGTATAAAGTGAAGAAGAAAACACAAAAATAAAATAATACACAAATATTAATAACAAAGTAGAGATTTTAAATTACATTAAACGTTATTTAATGCTTTTAAATAAATATGCGTAACTGAATATTATACTAACTGAATCAGAATCAGAAGTTTAATTTTAGCGGTTTATTCGAAGAATTGAAAATCGAGAGACTGAGAACCCATCGAACATTTAATTCTTCGAACTTATAAAAATCGGCAAACAAACACATCGCATTTACGACTTTCGGTAAAATAAATTTCTTGAAATTTAACAATAGACATTATAATTCTTAGGTATTATGAAATGAGGACTCCTGAAAATCGGCACATCGAAATTCGGAATAAAATAATTCGAAGTATTTGGGTGTTCCCATTCTAATTTATAGAAAATCTGGCAGACTATGTTAAAGTAAAAAGTAATTAATTACTGTCTTTAATTAAATTATTGAACTTTGATCTACTTTGTTTTGATAATAAACTGAACCTTTTTTGAAATTGCCAATATACATGCGCAATATAGTGTTCCCATATTCTTAAAATATTTTTTTGGTCTATGACCATGGTCTATAACAATCAACAGCTTAGGCCTCTAAGGTTCAGTCTTAACTTTTGCGTATTTCCTGAGCTACTAAGGGATAGGCATCGAAGCTTTTGCGTTGAATGATAGATAGCGAACTTTTATAAATTTTCTTTTAGAGTACCACTATTATTATGTGAAAATTATATTTTCCCCGTTAATATATTTACATTGTACAATAAATAAATGCTAAGTTGTCATATTTTAGATAATGACATTATTTTTGATATACATATAAACATAATCTTTTATTTGGTTGGTTAACTAATAACGTATAAAATATATAATGAGAATAAGATATTGTGTATAGATTTACTTAACAAATCTGTTAAACAATGCGCCGAGATTATCCTATGTAAATATTTTCGAACTGTATAGGAATATTTCGAGTTAACTGAAATTATTTCTACATAATTAAAGAGTTATTGTAGTTAGCATAAGATATGTACAAATGAATCACTCAACAAATCGATGCTTTTGTCTACCATCTAATTCTCATTACTTAGAATATGTGATCAAAGACACCAACGTTTCTTTTTAAGCTTGTATGATTTGTAAACATGTTAAATTGCTTTTTTATTAATAATACAAAAGCATCTCTGCTTATATGCATTAGGTACATTTGTTCGTAACACAAAGA